AAAAAAAAAAAAAAAAAAAAAAAAGAGAAGAAGAAGAAAAAAACATAAAAATAAAACCTTTAGGACAGCCAAAGAAACAGAAAGAGAATTGGTCTCCACATGGGGTGGTGGGCAATTTCACATTTTTGAAAAACCATAGTCCAACCAATCATGTATTTTACAGTGTATTATAATGTCCCAAAAGAGGGCACCTTGTCTTCCTGGAGGTCAACCCCTCCCTTCTCTCCCATTCTTTTAATCATTATTTTAAGTTTTGTTAACTTTTACGTAACCCAATAAGAAAGGGGTCTTTTTAAGACAACCCCAACTGACCAGAAAATTTCAGAAGATTCCGTCAAGATACCAAAGTTTTTTTTTTCTTTTACTTTTTTAAAACAGGCTTATGGCATAGATTTTTTTTTTTTTGGGCGCTACTATTGTTGCTAATTAATATGAAAAAAAAGGGAAAAAGAAAATCAACAATGTTTCGAGTATCAAATCTAATCTAATCTCTAATCCTAAAGGAATCTGGAAATTAAGATTAGATGGATAAGATTATACGATAAGGTTGAAAAAAAAAAGTTTATTAATAATGTGTAAATGGAGTTTATTTATATTTTAAATGAATGAAAACTGGGAGCTTACCCCTTAAGAGGTGCAAAGAATCATTCTAATTTTCTAATTAATTTGAAACTAAATTATGAGGTCAAGGGACTAATTATTAACATTAATTTTATGGGAATGATGATAAACCATCTTAGTAAACATGATTAGTCTTCTTTTTTTTTAAATGAATCATATTCTTGTTAACCTAAAATTTATTCTCTTACGATAAGTCTTTCATGATGTAAAGTATATGCCTATACACCATATATTAAGATCATTATGTATAGCATTTAAATATAACACAATTTGAGGAATTTGAATCTAATGTTATAAAACTTTGTCCTTTAACACAGTGCACCACTTGACTTAAGATTTTATTTACTACCTCATATTAATTAAAGCTATTCATATCTAGAATTTTATCAAACAAGCTGGGTTTTTAAGGTTTTGAAGAAGTCAATCTCAAAATGCTTTAATTAAATAAATTACAACTTGAAAAGTGCATATGATGACTTTTTTCTTTTTCGTGTGATTTGAAGTTGGTCAACATTTTAGAAGGAAACTTCTTCCCAATTTGCATGTGAGAACAAAGAATTTAAGGCCGTCTAAATAATTTATGCCACTAATAATCATTCTTTCAAAATAACAATCAAGGCCACCATGTCACCATGGTCCAATGAGATTTGGTCTAATGTTTAAGTGCTTAGTTAAGGTTTATAGAATTTTCAAGAGCTTTTCATCTTTTTTTTTTTTAATTATAAATTTGTGGTCAATTTAAGCAAGAAACTTCCAATTTATATCATTGCGAGTTTCATCTTTTGCCTTATTATAATTATGATAATTTTATTTTCTATTAGCATCATCATAATTCGATTTTTAGAAGAAGTTAAAAGAGAAATTAATCTTATAAAATTTTTAATTAGACAAATGTTTTCGGCAAGAGGAACTAGAAATGTAATTTGACTGGCTGGAGAATCCAAAGTTAATTTATTTCGTGGTTAATAAGTCAAAAGTGTTGCTTAATGTTGTAAAAGATGCCAAGAAGGAATAAAATCTTCATCTGTTTGGTCGCTAATGTAATTAAAGCCGCTTCTTAAGACATTCTCTCATCTTTTACTTTTCAATTATTCTTAAAAAAAAAAAAATTAGAAGATGATTCACACCATCTTATTTCATATGTGAACTTTATAATTAATTTTATGTAATAATAGTAATTATAATTAGTCAATATTAATTTATAAATATTTAAACTGATATGTATCAATTTATTTAATACTATTAATATACAGTACGATGTTATTACAAGATAAGGTTGTTCCTCGCACATATCCAAGATGCTAGAAACACGATTTAGTTTCAATCTTTAAATGATTCATTTCCCACAAGATCCATTCCACCGCCCCATAATTTTATGCTTACATTTAACAATCTCTATATGCCAATGGTTTTTTTTTATTATTATTAAAAAAAAACAAGTACTCTTAAAAAGTATAAATTAAAAGTATTTTTTAATTAAAAAAATTATAAAAATTGATATTAATTATAATATTAATATCAAATATGTAAATTTAATTAAACTGTTGATAAATTAAATATCAATTTTTAATTTTTAATACAAATTTATAATAAAAAATACATTTAATGCATTTTTAACCTATACAAAAATACAAGTTAGACAATTTTTTTTAATTATTATTATAGTAATTATTAATAACCAATAAAAATAATATTTATGATCCAACGGTGAACACGAAATTAAAGATGGAATCGACAGCTTGTCGTTGATGCTAATTATTACTCCAAATCAAGTTTATTAAACGGTGTTAATTAAGATTGGTGAAGAGTATTAAGTTAACTAATAGTGGTTTTGGGGTTTAATTAACTATGGTTACGGTTATATGATTTGGATTCCCACTCCACCACTAGGCTTTTCTTAATATACGTAAAAATATTCTCGTCCGTGCATCCACAAACAATAGAATAATGATTTGTGGATAGCCGTTGGATGCTTCAAACGAATGGTCCACATTATAAGTTTAAACAATTTCAATTTAGGCCAAACTCAGAATATTATTATTGCCAATTTTCCTTTCCACTATTTGCTTTCACGCGTGCATTCATGTGCAAATATGTCTCTTTTATAAATAAAATAGATTATCAAGGGAGATCCAAAAAAATAAAGAATAGATTATCAAGACAAAAATTATATATAAAAGTAATTTTAATATTTTAAATCTATTGAGTATTAATTCAGCTAAATTATTAATTAGGTCTTGGTTTGATTGTAAATCATGTCATTGTATAGGTTTTGTTTAAATTTTTTGGTTGTTTGGTGTTTTTGTTTTTAAAAAATTTTGAGTTGTGAGATAATAATCAACTCTCTTTCATTTTTTCATTTATCTTTATCCTGTACATATATATATATTTGTAACTCAAATTTATAATCTTTTATTTTAAATAAAATAATTATTACTAAATTATTAAAGTTTTTAGTATATAGTTAATTCGGTTTTTTTTTTAGCTATTTATATAGTTATTTGGTTTAATAATTGATTTGTACTATAAATTTGTATATGTTAGTTTATTGATATGTACACATTAAAAAGTGATACGAATCTTTTTGACGGAAAAAAATATGACATAATTGTAACTTAGTGTAACAACAAAAATTATTCATTTAAATTTGTTTCTGATACTTTAATTTTGATACAAACAAATAAAACAAGAGAAATTAAATATTTGGTGAAATAAAACAAAACAAAACCAAAAAAAAAAAGGCCTTCAACCTAGTAGCTAGAAAAAGTTGGCCACCTTGGCCTCGCAAAAGTATTGGAAGATTACAATTGATATTCCATGAGATAATAAAAGGTGAGTGCAATTAGCCAAAGCAAGAAAAAGCAAGGGAAAGTTAAGAGTCATTAACATCCAATTAGCCTAGTTTTTCCCCTTTTAAGTCTTTAACATATTCTTCCCATCATAATCATTGACCTCTTTTTAAATTTACAATTCTATTTTGTTAATCATTGCTTTCTTTAGATTGGTTTTTGATCATTTGTTTTTATCAAAAATAAAAAAAACAATTTATCAATAATGTCTGTTATTAATAATATAATTTCATAATATGATGTTACAATTAATTTTTGCTAATTTTTTTCAAATCAATAAAACTTATGAATAATTTAAACTTACTTCATACTGTACCATCTCTTGTTAATACTCCAATAAATCCCCGTCATGTTACAGTACACTTATGAGGACCCCAACTTGTAATCATACTCTTTTGAATAAAAGTCCCAACCAAGGGATGGAAGAAAATGTTCTTGTGGAAAAAAAAAAAAAAAAATCATATTTTAAAGGGTAGAAGCAGAACCCTCTTGTAAACATGTTATTCCGGTTTCGGACAATGAAAAAGGAGAGGAAGGCTTGGTCCATTTTCAGTCCAACAAGGCCCAACCAGGGCTGTTCGGTCTGGCCTATGTTAGATGGTGCTTCGGCAGAAGGGTACTGAATATAGATAATTTTTTGATCAAATTGCAATGGTATTACATGGGTTGAGAGAGGGGGAATGTAACCAAGGGGACTACAACCCATGGCCTAGCTGTTGATTCGCTGGGTGAGTGAAAGAGTGATCAACTGCTATGTGGCCCAGGTTCTCCTTCATAAGGGCATTGAATAATTGTGCTCAAGATTCTGTTCTGGTTCTAGTTCTAGTTGTAGTCTTATTATTATTTTTGAACATGGGGAGTTCTGGGGGAAGGGGTAAATCTTACAAATGTCCTCCTCACGGGGGACCTGAACCTTGTCATGGGCCACGGTATTTGGTGTATATTACCGTCCCACCTGGGGGCTGCAAATCCAGTTGTAGCCTTCTTGGAGGAGCTTACATCAATGTCGCCTAAATCTGTGTGTTCAAGGTCAAGCCAAGGGCACCTCCCATTTCTGGTTTCTGGTACTAGTCAATGAGAATGCATGTTGCGTAATCTGCTTTACCCATCCATTAATTGCATTGCAGAGAGAGTCAGAGACAAGGAAACACACCCTTATAAATGCCACAACCACTCCAAGCAAAAAGGGACAAACATATGCTGCACAGTTGGAGAGCATCAAACTTTACATAGTCTACAGTTGAGATTCTTCATTTATGGGAGAATTTAAGCTTCCTCCTACTTTCTAGCCCTTTATATTGTGGCTCAAATATCTAGTGTGTTAATTAGGCTGCAGTTTTCCGGACGTCCTTCATGCAGATCCATCTATTGAACTCAACTCGAGAGTCGCGATCATGAATGGTGCTCCTTTAGAGGAAGAGAGAGGATCGTTCAACGAGAGTATTTTAAAGAGTGATGCAGATTTCTTCACGTATGTCTTTGCGCAAGATAAGATTATTGTATGTTATTTTTTGAGACATTTTGTGAAAATTAATTTTGGCTTGATTGTGAAAGGCAAGTTTCTTCAATCAACACTATTTCTCCGCACAAAAACTAATGCATTAAAAAAGGTTAAATGCATTTTCCTCCTACCCTTCTGTGGAAAAAAAAAAAAAAGGGAATCCCACCAATGAACATTTATATAAATTATATTCTTCTCGTCGTATCATTGATATTCATATTGATGCAAGAAAAGTCGTTCAAAACGAGATGCAGGTGCAATGTTATTATCTTGTTAAATGTTACTCATTATAGTTTAATCTTCTTCAGACAGGATCTATAAAAAATGAACAAATGCACCTTCAGACAGGGCAATAACGTATTGATATTGAGGTTGGCTCTATCTTACCAAACACCATGTCCTCTCAAAACCTGAGACACAAATGGCACTGTACCTTAAAAACCAGGTGTTGCCTTAGCTTTAGTTGATAAAGTTTGAATAGTTCGATTGCTCGTCTTTAGGTTCAATTCCCGTTACTAGTAATTCCCTTGTAGATAGTAAGTGATTTGTAAACACACTAATTGTACGTTTTCATTGAAACTGACAATATGCTTTAAATTTAGAGTGATGTAACCCCCCCCCCCCTCCCCAACCCTAAACTTATTTATGATAGAAAAATCAGGTGTAGTCATGGGTGTTAACCTAAGACTGATGAAACCTAAATATTTTTCACATTGTACAAACTTAAAAACCTCAAGTTTTGTTCAAATTTAATCTGGGATTTTGCCACATTTCTTAATTTGAATTAAAGGGAACAACTAGGAACAGTGCAATAAAGCTAAGGCTGCCGCAAAGTAGATTCTTCCATCGTTTCCATGTCTGACCTCCTTTTATTTCAATTTAAAACAAAGGTAGGTGTGTGTTTTAGAGTTAATCTTCTACAGTTGCATGAAATCAAGGCATCTTTCTACTTTAAATCTCTTTTCCATTTTATAGGTTAATCTTTCTTAAGTGAGTGTGAAAAGTTTACGCCCATTAATCAATCAAACTTGTGAATTTAAATTTAAAGATTATTTAATTTAGATTTTCGTACTCTATTAGAGTTTAGTCCCTATTTTATGTCAAAGCTCATTTAGTGGACAACTCAGCGAGATTGCGAGATGTGCAACCCATTTCTGCCGATCGATTTTTTTTTTTTTCTTTAAAGTGCCGTTTAAACCAAATGATCCATCGGTGATGGTTTTTAAAAGATGATAATTTTAATAAGGGTTATAATTCACTTATATACATTATTTATATAAAATTTAAATAATTTATCTTTTAATTATTAATAGTTAAAATTTATAATAATATTTTAAAATAAAAAATCAATTATTTTTTAAAAAATAATATAAAAAAGATGCATGCACTCATTCTTTCTTTACAAGTCAATGTACACTTTTTTTTAGGTGATTTTTTTGGCAATTAATAAAGTGTTTGTGGACGGCTTGTGCATCTAGATCTGATCAAAGGCATGCAACGTACATTAATTGAGAAATTTATAAAAAAAAAAAATTATTTTTTTATTAATTATTTTAAAAATTAAATTTTTAATTAATAAAAAATAAAATTTTTTTTAGGTGATTTTTTTGGCAATTAATAAA